ATATATATCTTTTCATCATTTTATTTTTCGGTATTTTAATATTTTTGAAATATTTTTAAAATATTTTACTTTAATAAATTTTTTTCTCTTTTCTTTAATCTTTTTTAGTACTTTCCATGTTTTCTCTATATTCTTAACCTATTTTATGAATTCTATATACGTATGCAGATTATGCACAGTAAGGAAAACTTATTAATTTTTTTAATTTTATTCATTTTTCTCTCTTTTCTCTTGATCCTTTTTGTCTTTATTGTGCTATATATACACACACACATATACACATATACGTATATATATGTTTTCAATATGCAACAACACAAGAACAGTCTTTTTTAAATAAAAATGAATGCATACAAATATTTAAATATAAATTTTAAGTAAAGTGTATGTAAAAACTTAAGATGTAATTTTTAATTTATTTTAATTTTATTTGTATATTTAAGGGAAGGAATATGTGTTGAAGATCGGAAGATCGTCATGCTTTAAAAATTCTCAGGTATCACCCTAGACCCTTTGACGTCACGTTGCTATGACAACCACAGATTTCTTCTCATGCTACAAGTGAGTGGTAGATCAACGCACGTTTTTCCTCTCCGTTTGCTTTCGCTTTTTTCTTTTCTTTTTTACCCCTCTTCGATTGTGGCGGTTAAAAAAAAAAATACCTTTCGTGAATTGTAACTTTCGCTAAACATCTGTTCCACTAATATTAAAAGATTCGTATTTTATAAAAGAAATGCGTTAACTCTTGACCCAGTTGTAACTAAACAAATTTTCAATATTATTTTGTAGATTAATATTAAATGCCGTGAAATTTTAAAACTTTTGGAGAAATTCCTTGATTTTTATATTTTATTTAAAACAGATAAAAAATTACGTGAAACAGAGACGCGATCTGTGATCAAAATTAGGAAAAAGGGGTAATGAATTTTCTTAATTTTCTGTCGATTTCCTATTGAACTCTCACAAACTAATATCGGGAGTTGGAAAAAAGGTCTCTTTTTTTAAGCTAATCCTTTAAAGATAAAGTTTTTGTAGAACTTGATGGATGAAGCAGGCATTTTTAATGGTATTCACTAATCAAGGAAAAATGACGTAAAATGCCAGCATCAATATGTAACAGCATTGTTTTTGCTTCAATTTTGATATAACTAATCCATGTTTGTTTTGTGTATTCTTTAATGATTTGATTTCAAATTAAGTCGTGATAAATAAAATAAGGTATAAAATTATTTGCTCTGCTTTCTAATAAATTTTATAGTATAACCGTCATTGAATAGCTGGCCCAATTTTGAGTTTATGACTACTACAGTAGCCTTGTAATTTTTAACTCAATACAGAAGACAAGAAAGCTCCTGGATCAAGTGTTGGGAGAAATTTGCCTTCGTTGAGAACTTTCTGATGAAATTAACCAACATTTGCATTACATAGAGAGGAAAACCACGAAAACCTCTCTCAGTTAGCCTGACGGCAAGGGGACTCTAATCCATGATCCGTCTGCCACAGAGGATGTTTTTCGTCACCAATGTTGCTGGTTCGAGCTGGTTGCGAGATTCGCATTGAGCAGCCATCGCTAGAATTCGAAGCGGGTTACATTCGAACCATGAAATAGTTCACATATCACTTTTTTTTTCTTTTTACCTCAATTATAGCCGTTCTGAAAATGTCGTTTACCGGGTTCATTAATTCAGCTCTTCATTTGATAAGATAAAATCTTCCTATGCAGTCCTTAGCCAAATTATAACTTTATACAGCTTTATTGTTCTTACGCGACTGAAACCGGTTTGCACATGCTTACGTTCGTGTATCAATTAGTGAAATTAGGCGATATATAATATAAATGTGGAATATTTATTATATCAGATATTATATTATTATATTGTAATAGTTAGATAATTATTAGAGTTTTTTAATAATTATATGTTTTGCACGAGTTTATATGCAATACTTTTGTGTTTAAACACATATGTAATGGGTTTTTATTTAGGAGATTTTTTATATAATTCCTATTTGTATTCATTTTTAACGTATTGCAGTACTATGTTAGCCAATTGATACATGAACGTAAGCAAGTGCAAACCGGTTTCAGCCGTCTAAAAACAGTAAAGCTGTTTATTATCGCCTGATAATTAAGATTTTACATAGAATCTCATAGTGCGTCGAATAATTTGGGCCAGGAACGGTGCATATATATTTTTGAAAAATGATATTTAGTGGTGGTCAGAATTAGTGGTGAAAAAGTTTGAGCATTAAAAAAAAATAGAAACGGAAACACCTAAAATGGAACAATGGTTGTCAGTTTATTATTAAAGATTTTGGATTTAAAGATAAATCCTTGGGAATCATAATTCATAATATATGATTTTAATAGACATGATTAAATTGTTAAACTGAGAAACTAGATGCAAATTAAGTTAAGAGGAATCGTTAAGGCATATATCAATATTGCTAAAATTCATCTTTCTCGATGCTCCTTTTCTAAGAAACTACTTGTGATATTGCTTTGAAATTTCTTGGGGATGTTTGAGATTATACCAGTTAAATGCTGTGATAATATCTTAGCCTTAACTTTTTGAATTATAAAATCAAAAGTTCTCAAGTCATAATTTTTAAAAAAAAATTCTGCAAAAGATGTGTGTTAATAGTTATCACAGTGTAAGCGTAATATATAAATATTATGTGAAAAAAACTGATCTTGTTTAGATGCTGAGAAAAGGTACATTGGAAAAGGTTAGCTTTAGCATTATTGGTATATGCTCTACCCCCTTTATTTCTACTAGTTTTTTATGTTTTAGGTACATATTAATACCTTGGATTCTTATACATTTGGTTTGGGATTCGGTTCAAACCCCGTGTCACCAGCATACATTGTTCTACTTTTGACTTAATTCCTGATTCGCAGATTTAACTCTGTAAACTGGAAAATCGCTGTATGAAAATTTAATAAGAATTCCCCCTTTAAAGTTTTTAGTAACAAATTAAAAATTTGAAGTCTAACCTGGGAAGAACAATAAACTTATAACCAGATAAATTAGACGCGTAAACTATGAAAATAAAGAAATGAAACAACACAATGAAAAAACTTTTGTTCTGCTTATCGGATTTTTCACATACTTAGTGCCAATCTTGTGATACAATACAATTGTGATACAATTTTCCTCCAGTTTGCATCACAAATTGTATCACAATGTTTGAGAGAAAGATTTTGAGGAGTATACTTGGTGGTGTAAATGAAAACAATAACTAGAGAAAGAGATTTAACTTTGAACTGTACCAGATTTATAAGCAACCCGATATTATTAAATACATAAAAATAAATAGAATGAATTGGATGGCCTACGTGATTCGAATGAGTGATGACAATATAATGAAAAAGATGCTGCTTTTTAAACCCACTTGAACAAGAAAGCGGGGAAGCCCGTAGTTGAGATGGGCTGACTCAGGGGAGATTTTCTTGCAATTAATGAAAAGAATAATCGGAATGAAAGAATGATCAAAGATGAATAGTAAGTCATTATGGAGAAATCAACAGAAGATGGTATTGGCCCACATAGGGCTGTTTGGTCAACTATGATGATGATGAGTGCCAATCTTAATCTTCAAAATGTATTTCTTGAGAAACTTATGTGTGAACTTCGTGATTTTTTATTCCTGGAATAAGTTTCTTAATTTAAAACTGTATAAACCATTCCTGCATCAGTTTGTTCTGGGTTAAAGGGTTCATAAAGATTAAGGTTTCACGATTTCATAACCCACGGTATGATTGTGGCGACGCTCTCTTTAACACGTTGAATGCCCAGCTAATTTTACATGACTTGCTCGCCATGTCACAACAGTTAATAACTACAAACTAAGTTTGCAACTATTAGACAGATTTTGCTAGTTTTTAAAAAGGTTTAGCGCGGCATATCTCAAATAAATGGTGAATAATATAAGTCTACGAATTGTTTAGAAATTATGGGGGATAAAAATCTTCTGAATTGAATTTATTAAACCAAGAATCACAATTAATAAACTACCACTTGAAAATATTTATTTGCTGTCTGGAGCAAGTTGGCATCTCTTTGTATACAAATAAAACTATTTGTGTGTGTTCCATATTGCATTAATTTCTTCAAACCATTTTAGTAACGATAATAATATAAAAATTAAAAATTTATTCGAATTATGTGTTTCTAATAATCTTGGCTTGACCGGTCTTCGGTGACCCCCATGGAACTACGAACAAACTCAGCGCCGGTCACCGGTAACCCCATGGAGCTACGAACAAACTCAGCGCCGGTTACCGGTGACCCCCATGGCATTCAACGTGTTAAAGCCGACTTCACTTTTCTAACAAATTGGTACCCATCGATCTGAATCTGGGTTGGTTTCAAGCCGCCATTGAGGATCGAATTTTTGTCCTTCACAATGAGAGTTCAGTGCCTTTAACCACTTTGCCTAGACACACGTTACAAATCTTCTAAAAATAATTCAATATCCTGCAGACGGAAAATAAGATTAACTAATAATCAGGATCAATCTTTGTCAGCTGTCAGAGAGTTATAAAAGGGTATTAACATTATTACAGAAATAGGAATCACCTAACTTCCTTTAATCTTAAATATCAAATGACAGCTGAGGAGATTAGTGGAAGCCTAAATAGGATAAGTCATACTCGAAAATTTCTAAGCTGAGAGAGAATTTCATAGTTAAGAGTGTTTTTAAAAGCTATTTTGCGATGGAAAATAAAAAAATCCACTGTTGAAGGGTCTTAAATTCGAAACAAAGCTGTAATTTTAAACTACATCTACCATCTTGCAGTAAATAAATGCTAATGACATTGAATTAAAGGACGTTTAGACGATTGTTTAAATATGCATTAACTTAACAGTAATATTTTAACCTAAGTAAACATTTACATTTGTCTGCCATTTTTAGAAAAATTCAAAACTCAGAAGAATGGTAAGATACCATTTTAAAGTTTGGCAAGAGTGCGTCATATTTAACACAAAAATTATAAACACACCGGTCGAAAAATAAGTCACCCTTAGAGAAATCATAAAAAACATAATTTAATAACGTGTAACATCACCTCTGGATTTGATAATTGCCGGAATTTGATTAGGAAGTGAATCCAAAAGGTTTTGCAGGCATGTCGAATCTAGTTAAAGCCACTCGCTGAGAATTTGATCGCATTAATCCACCAAATTGCAAGGATGTTGATTTCGACGTCGTACCCATTGTTCCAACGTGTCCCACAAATTTGCAATGGGGTTCAAATCAAGTGATTTTGCTGGCCAGTCGAGATGTAATTGAGTGTCTGAGTCTTCATAAAACCAGTCACATATTCTTCCCTCCCGATGATATTTGCTGTTGTCATCTTGAAATATAGGGGTATCGTCATCATACTCTTCATGAAGATGTTCACTGAAAGGCAACGCCAGATCATTCAGAGAGTTCAAATAAACATGTTGGTTCATTTTGATGGCCACCTCAGTGAGGGATGGGACCCCTAACAGGTTTGGAGGGATCTTTATTCACTAACTGAAGCAATTTCTGTCGGGTTTGGAAACGATTTTGAT